TTTTTTTTTGACAGGTAATGATTAGTAAGTGGCGTATTATGTAGCCTACTCTCTCTCAGGATCTCAGGTATGTTATAGATAAGTGAGTGCTCTACCAACTGAACTTCATCCCCAGCCCTGCAACTGGAATCAACAAATTGCTATTGTTAAAGACAGCTTTACTGTACTATCAATAATTAGTGTATACAAGAATATACAGTTCTTGTCTGCTTAAATACCAGGAAACATTTCTTTGCTGCCTATGAGAATAGAAGTTGGCAAGTGTTCTCTACTATTATATATACCTGCTTAGGTAATTTGACTATTTTCAGAAATGAATACTCTGACAAAGCTACACAATTACAATGTAGTTTCACGGGTTTTAGACTTTTTAAAAAACACCCAGCTGTCTTCTAATGTAATATATATAAATAAAATATATAAATAAAATTTATTTATTTATTTATTTATTTTTGAGAGAGAGAGAGAATTTTAATATTTATTTTTTAGTTTTCAGCGGACACAACATCTTTGTTTGTATGTGGTGCTGAGGATCGAACCCGGGCCGCACGCATGCCAGGCGAGCGCGCTACCGCTTGAGCCACCTCATCCCCGGCCCCGTAATATATCTTTGACAAATACCAAAATTAACATCTGGAAAATGAAGTATAATCAACAACAACAACAACAAAATCCAGTTTTTGGTTATAGTTAATTTAGTGATCTTCATAAGACTGTAGATTAGTAATTTACTAATTTAATCTTTTTTTGTATTACTTCATTGACTAAATCTTTTTTTTTAACATTAATGCATTATAGTTATACAGAAAAGTGGAGTTCATCTTCGTAAATGCATATAACAAAGTTTGCTCTATTTTAATCTCCAGCTGACTGAGGATTTTGAAGACTAACCAGTTTTCATTTTGAGGCTTTCATTGTGTAGGCAGGATGGTTGTATAAAGTTGCATCATTTTATTGTTTGTATACACATCAATATACACATAGAAGTAATTTATGTGGTGACTAAGGGAAGTCATACTTTGGATCAGAGAAAAATAGAGGGGCAGGGAAGAAACTATGGTTAATGTAGAGTATTATTACCTAAAAAGCTGAAGTTATTACATTTATGATTTGTTTTTATTTTGGGATTTTTAAAAAATATTTTTTTATTTGTAGATGGGCAAAATAGCTTTATTTTATTTTGTTTTAAAAAGTGGTGCCAGGGATTAAACCCAGTGCCTCACACTTGCTAGGCAAGCGCTCTACCACTGTGCCACAACTCCAGCTTGGGATTTTTTTATTCCTATTTTTAGATTCCAAAAACATTCTCATTTTAGTGAGTTATGATGCCCTCCCTAATTCTCTACCTGGCAAATACACCAAAATATTGACTGCTAATTCTGTATTGATTGATGTAATCTGTTTTGAAGTTTGCAGGTTGATGAAACCCATAACCTGGGTACCACTGGTTTATTTTTTGTATTATATGTGAAGGTTTTTTATTTTGTTTTTTAGTTCTTTTCCTCCCATGAGCAGTCTTTTCCCTTTCACCAACCTGGTCTTCACCAGTTCAGTTAAATTCTGACACTAACCATCTGGAGTTAACATAGTCCCCACAGGTTATTACTCAGTCTTACAAGAATGCCCTCACTTCAGACTCCAGCTGCAAATGGAGTGCACAGCCTGCCCACATGTCTGCCCAGCAACTACGAATTTCATAGTTACCCCAAATCCCATCTCTCTACCACCAATTCCCAGACCTCAGGAAAGTGCTTTGGTGTGTCTGGTTTACTGTGAAGGATACACTTCAGGAACAGCCAAATAGAAGAGATGTATAGGTCAAGGTATGGTGGAGTGGGGGACCTGAAGCTTCTCCTCCTGTTTCATACAACATGCTTCCAGCACCTCGAGGTTATTAATGGCATTGTTTTTATTTTGTTTTGTGTGGTGGTGCTAGGGATTGAACCCAGGGCCTTGTACTAATGGTGTTTTCATTACACTGATACAATTGATGAAATTCTTGGTCGTTGGTAATTGAAGTCAATCTCCCCTCCCCAGAGTTGGAGTGTGTGGTGGGCTGAGTTCCAGTTCTCTAATCCTCCATTGGTATTTTTGGTCACCAGGCCCTACCCTTAAGCTATTTAGTAACCCCTACAGCCAGGAGTCATCTTATTATCTTACCAGAGACCATTATCAGGAGAGTCCAAAGGTTTTCTGAGATTTGTTCCTGGAACCAGTGACAAAGACTAAGTATTTTTTTATGTACCCCAGCATGCTTGTCTCTGGTGAAACAGATGCTGTGAAGAAGTAGGGGAGGATGGAGTGCAATGTCATTAACCTCAGGGACTGGGCCTTCACGAGGCTTCTCTGCTTGCCTGATATCTTCTAGAATAGAGCTATTTAGATTTAGCCTGTCCTTTCACAATTTGCCAAATACTCACATGGTTATTACTACTTCTCCAATAATATGTAAGTGCTCAGATCTTATTTTTACTTTTTTATTTTTGGCTTCTAGTACTTTTTGTTTTTAGAGTTGGATTGTATCCATGACATCTCATCTTGAAGATTTTATGTTCATCAGAAAACTAATCAGCTATTTTTTTCCTTTCATTTTTTTGACCTTTCTTGGCTTTCTGAATATGTTCATTTGAGTTGTCCTTATTACTGTGGTTATAGCTTTCTCAGGGAAATTGAAGTAATCAGATGATTGTTGACTAAGCAGTTTGTATGTAGAGTTTTGTCATTGAATAACCTCAAGGGGTGGGTTCCAAGATCCCCTGGGGGATACCAAAATCTAAATGTGTAAGTTCTTTTCATAAAATGGTTTAGTATTTGCACAGAACCTCTGTATATCCTCCCATATATTTCAAACAATTTCTAGATTATTTGTAATACCCAATACAATGTAAATTCTGTATAACTTGTTCTTATTTTGTTTAGGGATTAATGACGGGGGCTCTATACTTGTTCAGTGACTGTAATTTTTTTTTTTTTCTGAATACTTTTGATCCAGGTTTGTGCCTGGAACCAGTGACAAACTAAGTATTTTTTATATACCACAGGTTTGTTTGAATTTGTGAACTTAGAACCCTTTGATATGGATATGCTTGATTAATGAAGTGCTTGCCTCAGCTGTTCAATTAAACCATGTGATACAATTTCAATATTTGGACTTTCTCTAGCAACCCACTCTGGAGCAGCATTATATCTAGCTTCCTTGATTTTAGATTTACTTTATTGTTTTTTTAAAACACTCTTTTTTTGCGGGGGAAATAGAGTCATCTAATTAATAAAATAAGCTATTACTTTAGTTTATATAATCTCATTGGGACTTTTCAAAGGTATATTATTTCTTGAACATTAGGTGACAGAATGTAGGCCCCAAAATACTGACTTTGGAAAATTTTGTTCTTTATTAACTTACAGGTTTATTAACTTATTATTTACTGTTAGTAAATTTGTTACTTAAGTTGTAAGCTGTAAGAAGAAATTTGCCTTCCCTTGTTTCCTGTAATTTTTGTATTGGATTATGTAAAAGTTCTCACTTAGCAAGAATCTCCTTTGTGAGTGATGAAGAGATTTCAACTGCTGTAACTGTCAAATGTCCTTTAATCAACTTTAAAAAAATAATTCAAGCTTTAGTCATTGGCATGTTTCTATTTCCAGAGATATTTTACCAAAAAAATTTTAGACAGTACCACTGGGTTTGCTATGCCAATATTATTACAAGTTAGTTTTTGTAAAATTTCCTCAGTGGGAAACTGGGAAGTTATCACCTTGTTGTTCTGGCACAATTTATTTGTCAGTGCTTTGACCTCTTTAGGTTTCCCATGATCTTGTCATCAAATCCAGGAAAAGAGTGAAACACAATCCCCTCCTGCAAAGCTGCATTCAGTCTTAGATGGGTTGACAAAAGCATGAGTAAGGGGAAAGTGTGAAGGTGGCTTTTTGTTTCTGAATATATTTGGGAAGAATCCTTATGATTTGTTTAACATCCTTGAAACTGAAATTGGTAGAATGAGTAGTGCTTTTGTCCAGGGTAGGGGTTTCCTGAGCCACCTGTGAGCATCTTCATTGACTACTGCATAAGCCTCGGAAATATCATAAGGCTTATTGATGTAGAGCTCACGTTATTTTAATTGGAATAATAGTCTGCATAGTCAACGTGCCTTTTTTTGTTGTTCACTTTTGGCATTTGATTAAAAAAAATGGCATGGAATAAGGTAATACTTGAATCAGTTTCTCACCCAAGAGTAAACAGCATATATGAAAGGTAAACCTGTTGCTTAATATGAAATTGACCAGTCCTCTATATTTTATCTCAATCTCATTTGGTAATTAATTATTGACATCAGTGGAACTAGGACTTAAGATTACCTCATAGAATTGGTCCTTTATTTTTTCTGTTTATCTATGGAGGTTAGAAATTAAAACCTAATAGGATACTTAGAATTCATCTCATTTTACTTTTACACTTTTTAAAGTGAAAACAAAAATGTTTAAGCACAGGATATTAACTTGCCCAAAAGCAAATAAGGATTTACTCACATCGTTGTTCCTTGTTAGTGGCGACTCCCATGTCTCAAGGGACAGATAGTGCTTACTTGAGTTTGTTCCAGATCTTGAAGTGATCTGATAATAAAGATATTTTGTCAGTAAAGAATAGGTAATTACAGACAGGTCACCTGTATGTAATAAACATATATTAAATGATGATTAATAAATTGTAAATTTTAGTTGCATTTAGATTAATGAATAAGATTCACATTTAGAAGAAAACATTTTTTCTGTTGCTTATCTGTCAGCTCCTTTGTGCATCTTAGTCTGTTCTTTTTGGTCCCTTATTACATTTCATGTTTTCTTTTGTCTTCCCCCCTAGACTCCACCCTTGAGCTGTTCGCTGCTGTTTCTAGCACATAGTAATTGATCGACTGTCAAGTTGGTTTATCCTGACTTACATGGTATGTTGGACACCTAGTGTAGTATAAATACCTTATTTTTGAATATTTTCTTTTTTACAGTGAACAGAGTATCTGTCAGGCAAGAGCTGCTGTGATGGTTTATGATGATGCCAATAAGAAATGGGTGCCAGCTGGTGGCTCAACTGGGTTCAGCAGAGTTCATATATATCACCATACAGGCAACAATACATTCAGAGTGGTGGGCAGGAAGATTCAGGACCATCAGGTAAGAATCGATATATTTTTACTTTAAGATGATTTAATATACCTAAAAACTTAGTATATTCAGTTAAAAAAAAAGTAGTGCTTCAAAAACTAATCAAAATACACTGTCTGGGAAAAACTGAACATAGGTTTGCCTCCTCACCCTTTCTACTTTTTACAAAACCTGAATTTAGATGAAGATTTGGAATTAAATCCTATACAAACCTTCATTCAATCTTCTTGCCTTCCAACTAGCTAGTTTTTGTAATCTAAAGTAAAATCAGAACAAACAAAAATGAAGGACTATTTAAGAAACAGAAAATATTGTTAAATTTATATATGATAGGGAAAAAAATGGTAGATATTAAGGTTTCAATTCATACCTGGGATAATTCTCTACTCTGTATTTCCAAAAAACTAACTGGATTATCTGATTATGTGATTTCTTGGTCCCTAAGAGATCAGGAGCAATAGCTCGAGGGAAAGGTAGATAGGGTATTATTAGAATTAACTATATACCAATAGCAGCAAAAACTTTTATTTTAGATTTATAAAATACTTTTGGAAAAAAATTATTTTCCAAAGATGTTGGAATCAACAGATGTAAAAATTGTTCTGCTATACATGCAGGAAAAATAAAACAAATTTTCAATGCCCAGTTGAGGTGTTACTTAAAAAAGGTAGATCTCTGGGTTTGCCACTAGCACAGTGGTAGCAGAGTGTGTTAACAGATGCTGTAGTACCTTGAGTTTTAGGATGGAAATTATGAACTAGGGACTAGTTCATAGAAGCTAGGGACTTTGGTTTGTCATATGCATATGTAAGGTTTATGGGCCTATTAAATTTGGGCTGTGAAACTGAAATCTATGCAAAAAACTGGGATTCTCAGGGAGACTACATCCCATAAAAAGAAGACTAAGACAAATCCTTGCTATCAGGGCAGGGAGGCAAAGGAGTTTGTTTCTGTATGACCTGGTTTAGGAACTTTCCTTAGAAATGGAAACTACAACTTAACTCTCACAACTCCAGCTGAGAAATTATTAACAAACACCAGTTACAGATGTGAAACTGTTGGGACAACTGATAAAAGTAAATGCAGTGTACTCCTGGAGAGAAACTGTCACATCTAAAGTCAAGTCTACAGAAAACAACTTAATAAATTGGCAGAATCTACTGATGAAGTACACAGACTATCTCAACCTGCCCCTTTTTCGACCTTCTCATGCTACCTTTTTTTCTTAGTTACTCTTCCTTCCCCTCTCTTCTTTCTCCTCCCTAGTTTCTCTCCTTGCCCTTTGTACTCCAGTTTCCCTGCTGTGTTGCATGGCCTTCCTTTGGTGTCTCCCCAGTCTCTATACCAAGAGCCCCCTCTATCCCTTTGGCAGTTCAGGAAGTATCAAGTGTTTTTTTTTTTTTTCCCTCTTTGTCTTTCCTTCAGCCCCGTGTTTTGGTGGTGGATTGCATCAGACACAAGTCAAATACTGCCTAAGATGCTATTACAAAGAAAAAAATGAAAACTGTGTAATTAAAACTTTGTAGAAATTGATGAACATTTTTTAATACAGCATTCTGAATTAATAGCTGTAAAGGGTTAGTGAATAGATCATTTGTTAATACTAATGAATGGTCCTGAAAGTATGTTGACAGAAAAGAAAATGAATATTTAAAAATAAGTAGAAAAATGTTTGAGTAAGCCAGGAAATTTCTATATGAAACAGTAAAAATTTGTAATTAAGCTGTTCTGTGACTTGGATTTTGACAAATAAGTGTTTCTTAAAATATTTGAAGTGCCAGGGATACAGCTTACTTGCCTAGTGGGTGAAAGTCCCTGGGTTTGATCCCTAGCACGATCCAAAAAAAAATAAAAGAAATTGAAAATTAAAAATCATGCTTCTAAATATTTGTGACTGTAAGATGAAGTCATTATGAGCACTAGGAAATATTTGGGAAATAATACTTGGACCTTAGTGATAAGCTACTACGTATAGAAACCGTGGGACATCTAAACTGTCCTTAGATAGACACAGCTTAACAAGAGATTCAGGAAGATAATTTGATAAAATTCACATCAATTCATAATAATTCTCAGCCAATTAGTCATAAAAGTTTTTTTAAGCTGATAATGTGGATAATATAAATGTACAGCAAATATTTTATTGGATTGTGCAATGTTGAAAGCATTTCCATTAAACTGTGAATAAATTTAAGGTTTCAGCTTTAATCACTTTTCATTTAGTGTTGCAGAGGAGCTTCTAGTTAACCTAGCAGTTCAAAGATGAAGAAATAGAAGGTTTAAGGATTGAAAGGGACAGCTGGCCTTATTATTCATCAATGATGTAATTCTCCGTATAAAAAATATCCTAAGTATCTGCAGATAAATTATAAACACCAGAAAGATTGTTAATCAGGGTTATTAGATACAAGACCAGTATTTAAAAATTAGTAACATTTTTGTATAGCTAGCAATCAGCAATTAGAAAATAAAATTTTATAAGAATGCTACCTAAAATAATAAATGATAATGTACCTGAGAATAAATCTAATGAATAATAGATTTCCTGTCATTTCAAGGTACATTGTTGCATCTCTTAATGGTTGTTGCCAGTGGAAGCACATTGTTATAATTTACTAAAAACATCCAGTTTTTCTGTAGTAATCACTGTTTAAAAAGCCACCCACCATTTATTTGTAAAATGGAATATATTCAGATTATTTCATTTTCTGTTTAATGTTTATTAAGTACTTAATATGTCTAGGTGCAATACCTAAGTTTTATATAAAGTTTCTGACCTTGAAAGATAATATTAAAGAATGTGAATGTTAAGTTTGTAAGCAAAGACATACTGTTAAATGTTTCAGTTTTGATAAATACAAATCATAGTACAGCAGAAGTATAAAAGAATCACCAGTGTGTAGAGAAGATTGGCAAAGGGGTCATGGGTCTTCATAGGCGAGAGTAATAATACTAAGCTAAGTCTCAAGGAACTAGGTGTTTGCTGCACTGCTTACTCTGTTATGGTCAGACTAAAAATGTAGGACAGAATATATCACCAATTCAGAGTCAGTCTCACTGGGTGTGAAGAAGCATGGAGCTTAAGTTTATGATGAAGTATGATCACATGCTTCATGGACATTTAAATCTTTAAGTGAAAACATGTACTTTAAAGATTACTTAAGTGTTATTACTTCTTAAAGGTTAGATGAATGAAACAACTGATTCAAATTAAACCATTTTTATGTTGGAAGAATTGAACCATTTACCTAATATAATTTGATTCTAGCAAAAAAATGTCTTTACCTATTTCTCACATTCGGATACAGAAAATTTAAAAACTTAAGTAGAGCCTATTTTCTGACTTGTCTGCTGTTTTTAAGCTATTCACCCAATGGAATATAAATTTGCCATATAATGGGATTATTTTCCAATACTATGAAATTATGGTGGCTTTGGGTTTCTAGTAGCTAAGGATTTGTGGTCTCATCTCTGTATTTATAAAAACCACTCAGTAAGAGGTCACTATATATTTTTTATTGTGACAAAATATACATAACATTAAAATTACTATCTTAACCATTTTTAAGTGTTCAGTGGCATTAAGTACATTCACATTGTTGAGCAGCCATCACCACCAACCATCTCCCAACTTTTTTTTATCACCTCAGACTGAAATACTGTTGTCTATTAAGTAATAACATTGCATTTTCCCCTCCTCCAGCCCCTAGTAACTACTTATTCTGTCTTTATAAATTTGACTCTTCTAGGTAATTAGTATAAATGGAAATATACCATATTTGTCCTTTTGTGTCTGGCTTATTTTACTTAACATAATATCTTCAAGAGATTATTATGATTTAAAAATAAATTCAAGCTTGGGAATTGATGGGGAAGTTAATTTAGGTAGAACCTGTCTGAGTACTAAAGCAAAGGCATAGAATATTAAAAAGAAAAAAAAATCTATTTGGAGAGTTTATCTGGCAGTGAAAAATTATTGGTCCGTGATCTGACAGAATAAAGAGCCAGAGAAGTAAGCCCTGCTTTCTTCTGGCTAAGATCTCTGTTCTCCTAGAGACATAATGTAAGTTTTGAAAAAGGGGACTGAGGATACAAGCAGAGTTTTGGAAGATTGACATCTGGGTCAAATATAACCAAAATTAGAGTTTAGGCTCTGCTAATGAAGTGGAGGGATTGTCTTAGTATTCTCTCAGGTCATGAACCCAGAAGCCCATACTGTAGGAAGAAGTTTGATTTAGAATTAGACTGACCTTTACAAGCACTAATTATTTCAATCACTGTATAGATAAAGATAATTTGAATCTGTTAGTTTTCTGAGCTGCCTGCCAGAAGCAAATGTAAGTCTCTCTGAAAAAATTTTAACATCATTGTAGGGCTCAAAATTTCTATATATTTGACTATACCCAGTGTCTGACACTTTATCAAAATAACCAGGCATACAAAGAGACAAAAAGAACAATCATAGAATAGACCTACTGGGTAATCTAGTTAATGGTATTATCAGAAATGCCTTTTTTTTTTTTTAACAAGATGTCCCAGAAGGCAACAATTTAAAATCAGACAATCAGTAATCATAACTAAATACAAAATTTCATGTAAACTTGCGTTTCAAAATAAAATCAGACCCTTGCAACAAAATTGCCCAGGAGTTTTTTCTTATATAAAAACAGTTAATATCACTTTGCAAAATGCATACAAAAATACAGTATTAAAAAAAAAAGACTCACCTCAGCATAATACCCAGTAGCTTATAAAACACAAGCTATTCAGGTGAGACATTAGTGACCTGTTCCCCACCTATCCTCCCAAGACAATTCCAGAAGTCGGTTGGCTCCTGAAAATCCAACTCCAGAAGGTAGAGGCTAGCTCTAAAACTTTCACTTGAATTCTGAGGCCAGGAAGCAAACTCACAAAGAAATCATTGTGTGGACTCTAGGTTTGGAAGTAGCAGCTGGTTTTACAGAGCCACAAATTGTGCTTTCCATTCTCCCACCCCCTTCTGGGCCGCAGAAGGCCTGGTTCTTCTCCCAAGACAGGCTTAGTGGTTTCCTGTGATTGCCAGCATGACACCTGCTGGGTTGGGTGACTTTCTCAGATTGGAGGCTACACCTGAATTTCACTCAGAGCTACAGAGTCCAGTTGGGGCAAAATCCATCATGGTTGAGAGATGATGCCTGCTGTTAAACAGCTCAGTGATAGATGGGGTTTACAACAAATTAGAAAAGATTCAAAATAATTGGTGAACTGGAATATAGGTCAAAAGGAACTATTTAGACTGAAGGCAAGGCATCTAAGCAAAGATGGGATACATTAAAAAGATACTTATGGACTAATTAAGATACTTATGGACTACTGAGAAAATGTATAATATATGTATACGGTCCCAGGAGAAGAGGAAAGAATAAGACTGAAACAATAATCCAAGGGACAATGAACAAAAATTTTAAAAGTGATGAAAGAACAGCAGCTTAGAAATGCTATAAAACTTTAAGTTTGATAAATACAAAGAAAACTCTGTGTGTGTGTGTGTGTGTGTGTGTGTGTATCCATCATATTAACCACTGTAAAGTACTTATAGCTTAAACTCTTTAAGAGAAGTCTGTGAAGAAAAACTTTTGAGAAACAATAGCTGTCATATGGAACTGGGGATGCAGTTTAGTGGTTAGAGTGCTTACGAGCATGCATGAGGTCCTGGGTTCAATCCACAGTATCTCCCCCCAGCTCCTCCCCCCAAAAGGAATTAAAGAATAGGCAAGTAAAGCCAAGTAAAAAAGAAAAGCCAAACACATGGGCATCTCAAGAGATGTCAAAAAAACTCTTGATAACATGCAGTCATGATGAAAACTCATAGCTTTCAAGGAATCAGAGTACTTCCCAAGTCTGATTAAAATTATGTATACAAGTATTATGTGAAAGATTATATTTAAGGGTGAATTTGAGAAAGTTTCCCCTCTAATATCAGTTCAGAGGAAAAGATACTTGATATCACTATGCCTTTTCAGCGTTGGATTTCAGTTCCTAGTCAGTATATGAAGGTAAGAAAAAGAATTAAAATATATAAGAATTGGAAAGGAAGAAACAAAGCTGATGTTTATTTTGGATGACATGGTTATATAATTGTGGGGGGGGACCTGAATATAATCATTAGGATTAATAGTAGATTAAAATAGTTAGAATTTATAAATATATTAGGTTAATAATAGATTAGAATTAATAAATATTTTAACAAAGCTGGGTACATTATCATTATGTAAAAATCCTCAGGTTATAATTTATCAGATACCTAAAAAAATTAATAAAAAGTGTTCAAGACCCCTATCAAGCATTAAATACAAAATAATTAGAGGGTGGTATATGATATTCATCAGTTAGATTAATTTTAAGGTATTATAGATTGATCAGTTCTATCTTAATCAAAATCCCAAAAATTATTGGTGGAAATTGACAACCAGAGTATGAATGATAGCTTTACATGAAAAACTGAGAATAGCCAAAGTAATATTAAGGAATGAAATAAGAGAACAAACTGCAGTGGCTTTTGAAGTGGCATTAGGCACTATTGTGTTGGCAAAAAGTTAGGCATATTGACCATTAGGGCAAAATAGAGTCATAAGGACACTTGATTTATGAAAAAAATTAAGCCTGCAGCACAGTTACAGATGAATTGAATCAACTGGACAACCATATTGAAACAAATAGGAACTTGAACCCTATATCACATCATAGGCATAAATCAATTCCAGTTGGATTGGGATGCAAATGTGAAAGGTAAAACAATAGAGCTTATATAAGTTGGCATTACCTTTTTTTTTTTTTTTTTTTTAAAGAGAGAGAGAGAGAGAGAATTTTAATATTTATTTTTTAGTTTTCGGCAGACACAACATCTTTGTTTGTATGTGGTGCTGAGGATCGAACCCGGGCCGCACACATGCCAGGCAAGCGCGCTACTGCTTGAGCCACATCCCCAGCCCCTGGCATTACCTTTTTATGACCTTGGGATTGAGAAACATTTCCTAACAGGACATAAACAAGTATTAATAATATAAAGGAAAAGATCACTAATTTGAACTGAATAGAAGTGAATAACTTCTGTTCATCAACACACTTCTAAGGGTGAAAAGGTAAGTCATGGAATGGAAAGAGATAATTTACCACAATGCAGAATGTACAAAATGCATGTACAAATCAATGAAGGAAAAGATGGACAACTCAGGAGAAAAATGGGCCAGAGATTTATTAATTTAAGCAAGTATTCACAAAAGAAGATATCTTGATAGTACAGGGAAAGTACCTCATTAATAATCAGGGAGGCACAGGCTAAAACATAATAATAAAATAGTTGTACCTCAGAATTGCTAAAATAAAGTGGGGCTGGGGATGTGGCTCAAGCTGTAACGTGCTTGCCTGGCATGTGCGGGGCGCTAGGTTTGATCCTCAGCACCACATAAAAATAAAATAAAGATGTTGTGTCCATTAAAAACTGAAAAAAAAAAAAAAAGAATTGCTAAAATAAAAACCACCGTTACCAGTTGTGATACTGTGTGGCATGTTGAGTAGCACAAACTGTTGTATGTGGCTGTGAGAGTGAATTGATAACAACCAATTTAGAAAGCTACTTGGAGTTTTCTACTCAAGTTGAACATGCATATGGCCTGTGCTGATTCTACCTCTGGGTATATACCCATCAAAAATGTATGTTAGTGTATACCAAAAGACATTTAGTAGAATGTTCATAATATCATTGTTTGTAGTAACCCCAAACTACAAATAGTCCAAATGTTCATTAATGGGCAAATGAGTAAATAAACACAACTTATACAAAGGAATACCACATAAAGCAATGAAAATGAATGAAGCTTAACTGCATGCAACAAATGGGTGGTTCTTATAAAGGTTATTTTAAAGAAAACACAGATACATTTATCAAACATAATGTGTAACTATTCTTGTATAAAATCAAAAAACCTGCAAAACTAGTACATAATATTGAAATGTGATTAGTGCCCTTTTGGGGTTGGGCAGGAGTCTTTAAGGCCTTTCTGGTGTTAGTATTCTATTTATGTGTTTATATTACTTCAGTAAACAAAAATAGAATTTATAACTTATTTAATGAGAGGAACAGATGTGCTTTTGTTTTGCTGATATATACATATATATGTATGTATATATATATTTTGGGGCGGTACCAGGGATAGAACCCAGGGGGCACTCAACCACGGAGCCACATCCCCAGCCCTTTTTTGTATTTTATTTAGAGACAGGGTCTCACTAAGTTGCTTAGTTTCTCGCTGTTGCTGAGACTTGTTTTGAACTCTGGATCCTCCTGCCTCACCCTCCCAAGCTGCTGGATGTGGGCCACCACACCCGGCTGTTTTGTTGATTTATTTTTTAACCATCAGATGGAGTAACTTCTGTCAGACTTAGAACTGCAAACTGCTTTGACTCTAGATTTCTGTTTAACTATTTTTGACAAGGTATATTAGGAATAAATTTGAGTGAGTATGTAGTTAGGATTTGTCTATCTCCTTGATTTTGCCAGTTATTAGCTTGATCTTTATAAATAATTATTGTCTTTTAGGTTGTGATAAATTGTGCCATTCCTAAAGGGTTGAAGTACAATCAGGCTACACAAACCTTCCACCAATGGCGAGATGCCAGGCAGGTGTATGGTCTCAACTTTGGCAGCAAAGAGGATGCCAATGTCTTCGCAAGTGCCATGATGCATGCCTTAGAAGTGTTAAATTCACAGGAAGCAGGTAAGGTATCTGTACTTTCCTTGTGTTCTTAAACTGAAGTGCTTTGGATACGTTGAAGCAAATCTTTTTGTCAGCCTTTAAATGATATATTTATTTCAAGTAATTCTTGAATTTCTTTTATTTTCTACAAAAATGTGAACTTATGTGTTGACAGTAATAGTCCAGAAGGATGATCCTTTGAGTTTACTTAGTTTTTAACCTTCACATATGAAGTTATTTAGTTTGGTGTCTCCTGCTGTAACAATTCAATTTTTATTGCTAGAGCATGAGGTCATACAGTAGGAAAGAATAATGCATATTTATCTTTTTTTTTAATTTACTTTTTTATGAGGAAACACACTTTTTCTGAAACACATTTTTTAAGCCACTACTGAGCCCATGAACTACAAGTAGAACAAGTTCTCCTTCCTTGGAGATTAAAACCTAATTCCAAAAGTTATTTGAAGTTTGAGGAGTGCCCTCTGGTGGTACAAGTCGGGAATTGTTTCTTCTGATGCTGCCTATTGCTTAGAAGATGTTTATGAATAATTCACTTAAAAACCTTAGGGTTTAAAGCTGTATTTGTGTCAGGGATAAGCTCAGTTTTGTTTGGTTTATGAAATAAAAAGAAATACACCAGGGTGTGCTTATTTCTTTGGGGAAAATAGATTTTATAATTTGAGAAATAAATGTTACATTATAAGAACAATGCAAGTGATTACTCTTTCCAGTATTGTGTGTTCAGTAATGATTCTAATCATATAACTCCGTTATGAGCAGAATTTATGTCTTTTAATAGGAAGAGTTATTCAGATGAAAATTCGATATTTTGTGGAAGGTATAAAATTTTAAAATCTATTATAAATAGGTTATATTTATACCTTGCCTTATTCCAAAAAGGGGATTTAAACATTTAGTTCGTGTGTTAGTCTACTTCACATGTGACATTTAGAGCAAGAATTTTGGGATCTTACAGAAACTTTAATGTTGTTCTTCCTGTACATAAGTTAAATTAGATCTTCTTTTGAGAGGAAATCAATATCTATAGGTAACTTGTACCTTATCATGTTTTATTTATTTTGAGGAAATAAACCCCTGGAACTCATTCTGATTCTAGTTATTGAAAAGAGCATAGGAAAATCTGTATTCTCTCTTGATAAGTCACTGCTTTTCTTGAAGGCATCAGTATTTTATTTTATCTATAGAAAGTATAGAATTGCTTTTATTCACCTTAGTTTTACCATAGGGAAGAAGCTATAGTTGTGATTCTTAATATTTTATTAAATAGGTCAATTCCACAGTTCAGAAAATATAAGTATGATAATATTTATCTTATCCATGTTTGACACAGACTACCATTATTTTTATTTCTGAGTCTTCAGATTGATATTAGGAATTAAATATTGTTTAGCATAGTTCAAAAGAATGTTCATCTTGTTATTTTTTTTTAACCAAATGGAAAGGATTGTTTTTATCAGTGAATAGTCTCATAGTTTGCTTTCAAAGTGCAAATGATAATAATGCTGATCCTTTGTAATTGTCTTAATGTGAAAAGACTCAATTACATTCTTTCATTAAAATTTAATTTATTCTCTGGGGATTGAACCTAGAGAAGTTTAATCACTGAGCCTTATCCCAGGCCTTTTAAATTTTTCTTTTTTTTAAATTTTGAGATGGGGTCTCCCTGAGTTGCTTAGGGTCTAAGATGTTGAAGCTGGCTTTGAATTTGGGATCCTCCTGCTTTGGCCTCCAGAGTTGCTGGGATTACAGGCCTGGCTCAGTTATATTCTCTTGTAAACTCATTAAGAAACAGTGTTTCACATATAGAAAGATTGGCAAAACAGGAGACTCACCCATCATTTCACTAGCTACAGAAGCATTTTGGACTGCCAAAAAGAAAAAAAAATTAATAGAGTTCTTCTTAGATGACTTTGATACTCTCTTTTCTGTCACAGTCTCAACCAATAATACTAGGGACTAAGGAAACAGAGATAATGGGGTTGGCACGTGCCTGTAATCCCAGTGGTTTAGGAGCCTGAGGCAGGAGGATTGCAAGTTCAAAGCCAGTCTCAGCAACCTAGCAAGGCCCTAAGTAACTTAGTGAGACTCTTGTCTCTAAATAAAACATAAAAGGGGTTGGGGATGTGGCTCAGTGGTTAAGTGCCCCCTTGGTTCAATCCCTTCTACCCCCACCCCTCCCCCCCAAAAAAAATAGAGGAAGATAATGGTGGGAGGAGCTCGTCCATGTTAAACATCTCTGCATTGTGGATCAAGTCACTGGCAAACAAGCTTTTGATTCTTTAGTTTTTTCCACTGGAGAAAGCAAAACATTATAATGGTCAGTGTTCTAAATAGTCTAAATAGTGTTCTAAATAGGAAATCCCTGTTTTCATAAATTACTTTAAACATTAATTTCTTATTTTTTATGGTATTAACTGGCCCCAGAAGTAGGAACATGGAAAGAGGTTGATGTTAAGAATCAGCAAGAGTGTCCTTGGAAAGGGTTATAGTTTCTTGTGCAGATTAAAGTAGAACATGTATGTTTCTTACTGCAGTATTATTATTTAGATTCCCTCCCATTCACTAAACAAACATACCAAATAATATCACTTCTCAGTATGCTCATATCTCCCGCTGCCAAAGCTGTTTGCATTGGGTTCCCAGCCAATTCCCTGCTGAAATTGTCTACTGTCCTTTTTTGGCCAAAACCAAGTTGAAAAAGCTTAATTTGCATGTCTTTTCCCTAAACAAATAGCCCAATAAAACTGATCAGAAACTAAAGAATATATTATTTCATAAAAGAAAAGCAACTACAGTCATCAGTCTTGCTTATTTTTTAATGTTTTACCACTTTTTTAAAAACCATTTTCCAGTATTTAATGTTTGTTTTTGTTTTATTTTAAGTGTTGTTAATATTAACTACTGTCATTGTGATTTTCAGACTTTTAAAAGTTGTGGACACCTTTGTTAAAACAAAATCTTTTGCTGAAGCTCAGTGTATAAATGCAACCACTCATTCCCCTACAAAGGTGTTTTTCTGATTAATGTGGAGTTTAGGCCCACTGCCACGAAGGTGCCTACCTGTATGGTTCTTTAGAGGAGGATATGAAAATTATCCATTTTTCTTGGCAAAACCAACAATCACACAATCCTACTTTCCTCTTCCCCTCTCCCATCTCCCAAGTCCTCTAAATCCTCAATTTCTTTTAAGTTAAGGAAAAGCGTCTTCCTTTGAGTCTAATTGTTCAGACCTTTACAAGATGGTGTGTGTGTGTGTGTGTGTGTGTGTGTGTGTGAGAGAGAGAGAGAGAGAGAGAGAGAGATCATTTTTTATGAAAAGGGTGGGTGGCAGAATGTTTTCCTTTATTTTGTTTTTAACATGGTGTGCAATTATCTAATACACTGGAAAGTACAGGAGGTGCTAAATACAGTGAGTTATATTTGGAATTTAAAAAAACATCACATGTACTAACATTTTTGAAAAAGAGCTGAATTAATGCTCTTCCTTTTAGACCAAATGCTACAGTCTATCTTTTCTCCAATGGAAATTGATTCCATTTTAAACAATTGTACTATTCAGACTGATAATTTCATTTGTATTATTTATCATGTACATCTTTAAGTTTTTGTAGATAATAGTTATGGGTTATGTAAAACTGCATTGTCAGTCCTTATGATGATTGTTGGAGATAAATTCGCACAGTGTTTTATTTTGTAAAAGGCTTAAATCATTTAGAAATGGGAATATTTTTTAAATACATTTTTTTAAAAGAAAATGATATACATAGCTAGCAAGATTATTCTGCTTTTGTTCTACTCAGCCTAGATGAAGCATAGCTTTCCAGAAGGAAAACCTTAAAATACCATTAGCTAAAAGGCAACTTTTGTTAGATTTATTTTTCTATTTTTTGTCAATGAGAGCATAGTCAAAGATGTTTCCTTGTGATTAAAATTTTTATCAGATTTTATAATAAGTATTGAGACTTCATTCATTTTTTTTTTCTCCTTTAGTGGTAACTTGGTCTGATGTTCCTTCCAGTATGAGTGTTTACGTGACTTTTATTGTCAGAATTATTTAACTCTTGGTAATGTGTTTGGAATTAATTGGATTTTAAAATCTCAAGAAGTTTCTAGAAATAGTTTGTGTATGATAGTAATCTTATTTTCCGGTCTTTTAGATTGATGATATTCATGGGAGCAGTATCATGCTTCTGTCACAGAAAAATGCCATCAGCTAACAGGTTTTGGATATAAGTTCTGTGGTAGGCACTGGAATGATACTAACATGATAAAGTCTATCCCTTCCCTTCCACAACTTCATAACTGGGCTGGAGCTAGCTAGAAAGAAGGCCAGCAAAATTAGGATGCAGTCTGTGAATGGAGTATGAAGAAAGGCTTTTGGCATACCAAAGAAAATTCTAGAGCAAGGGAAAGCTTTGAGGATAAGATGTTTGAGCTGTTATTTGAAAAAGGATTAGACCTCATCAGTGATAAAGCATTTTAGAAAGACTTGGATACATGAGAATGTGGAACAGTTGGGAAACAACAGATAAACTACGTTGTGGTTTGGCCCTGAAAAATTATATGGTGTGAATCCCTAAAGAAACGACTGGAAAGGTTGTGAAGGGCTATTGTTCTTGCCGAGTAGTAGTATGAATTTTATCATAAAGAGTCATTGAAGAGTGTTCAATGAATGTTTGATATGATCAGGTTTGTGTTTTAGGATAAGTGTGATGGACTGGTTCCACTGCCAAGTTACATCATGAAAACCAATTGTGATGATATTGGTGACATGGTAGAGAGAGAAAAGGAACAGAGTGAAGAGGAAGTGACCAAATTTTACTTTGTGCCTCCTCTGTCTGTGAAGGCATTGTTCTAGCCTTTTGCATGCATCCTCAGTTAGTCAATTTCTTCTTACCATGTCAATAAGATGTAATGCCAAGAAAGAGAGAATATTTTGAGATGACAACTACGTGTAACAATTTGGGCCACTGGTGAAGATGGTACCATTAACCAGAGTA